ACTTCCGCCGTAGCTCCGAAGCAGCTTGTTTCCGCACCCTAACCAGCCTCCTGCCTTACGCTTTCAAGGAAATCTGCATCCTCAAAGGCCTTGAATGGGTGCTGGAAGAATTTCTTCGGATCTCGGGGGAGGATGAGCAGGTGTACGGCGGATTTAGGGTACAGGTCGTGAATTACCACGAACTCAGGCGAATGGGATATGACAGTTGTAGCGGAGAAGGACTCGGGGGATTTGATGTAGGCTCCTAGACCGTCGCGGTTCTTAAACGGTTTCAGACGAGACGGTTTAGGCTCGATGAGCGGCGAGGCTGCTCGTTTTGGTCTGGAGGTCATTAATTCGGTGACTTTGGTAGTTGGATGTTAGCTGACTAGCTGGCTGTTGGAGCTATCTTTGCTGGTGAGGCACTGTACAGGCATTTTTCTTTTGATTATCGTTATTCTTCTCTTCTCTTGTGTTTTTGTGTTCGTCTGCCATGCTAATATGTAGAAAAGGGTATCTTGTGGTGGTATATATAGAAGTGTTCTGGCGTTGTAAATAGAGGCAGAGGCAGTTGCGGCTGTTACATTTATTTCTCAGCGGCGAAAATAACGATCTAGTCAAGTATAAAGTCCCGGCATCGACACCCCGTACCATAGATCTTTCACCTTTTATTTTTATTTATTTTAATAGTTATACCAGCATTGAATTCTCAACATTGCAATAAGTTGTCTTCCTCTTTACCCATTTGAACGGTTTTTCTTCCTTGATGCAAGGTTACAATCGCCGCCTGACATGGCAAAGCATATTCAATACTCAATACCCTGGCTACTTGATATACCCTGGCTTCATAGTAGAAGTTGCACTGGCAATCCGTTGTCACTAGAGACTTAGAGAACATGGACAAGGCGAGGCATCCTCAAACACACCTAGGGGGGGGGGGGGGGGGGGGGGGGTGATCAGCAGTAAAGGAACCGCAGGTCTTGAGTGTTTCTAAAGGTGTTAGCAATGGGCGTGTATGAATGATCTTCTAAGATTATTGATTCTACGTCTAAATCTTCTAGGTTCTATCCTGATTCTACCTCAATTTTGAGCTTCGATATCAACCACAGGCGAGATTGGCCTTCCCGTTTTTAATAGAGCACGCACATTTTCGAAGCTCTCTCGCCCTGCCCTTCTAACGGCCACATCCGTCAGGCCTGCGAGATGTGGCTGGATTATGACCTTGTCACTAGTCATGAAATACGGATTGAAGTCCGGCTCTTCGTTAAAAACGTCAAGGCCTGCTCTGGCAATCTTCCCGCTTTCGAGAGCTTCTATTAGACTCTTTTCATCCACGATCGGTCCTCGAGCAGTGTTGACCAGATAAGCACCGTCTTTCATCACCGCGAACTCCTTTGGTCCAATTAAACCTCTAGTTCGTTCATTCAACGGACAGCAGATGGAGACGGCATCAGAGACCGCAAGCATATCGTGTAACGAGGCATAATACGTTACTCCATACTCAGCCTCAACTTCGGCAGGCAGCTGAGTTCGATTATGATATATGACCTTGAGATTAAACGCAGCTGCCTTCTTAGCCAGATACTAGAAAAGGTCTATTGTCAATACACAGATCTTACTGCCATATATGGATAGGTCTATAAAATGACTTACTTTTCCGATTGTCCCTAGGCCTACAATACCCAAAGTGCACCCAGATGGATCATGGGTTGGATTCAGATTATTTCTCCAGGTCCCTGCTCTTGCGCTCTGCTCTGCATTCGTTGTATTTCTAAACACTGCCAGCAATAAGAACATAGCCATATCTGCCGTAGGCTCGGCCACGGAATTGACTGTATTTGTGAGCCAAATTCCCTGCTTCACAGTCCAATCTATAGCAAACATGTTATAACCGGAGGTAATGCTAGCAATTATTCTGCAATGCGGTACTAGTGGCGAGAGAATCTCTTCATCGAAAGGATAATATGGTATGCCATTTGGCCCGATGATAAATGCATCTACCGGGCCATGCTCCTTAATGTCATCCTCCAGTCGGCTCTTCAGTTCACCACGTGGGCAACTCTCTAGTACCGAGAAATCAAATTCACGTTTGAACTCTGCGAGGTAATCATCACCTAGGTGTTTGGTAGCACCTAGGCTTAGCACCCTGTGCTTCTTTTGTGACCCTGTGGATATGACGGTCATTATCAGCGTGCTGGTTTGAGATATTGTTTAGCAAGTACTCCGTATATTAAAGTAATAATAATTAAATGTTTAGTGGAGTCCACAGGGTAGAAACTTGGAGAATATAATTATAAGGACCAAGCAAGATTCACCAAGTAGTGAGATTCGCCCTGCATTGTAAACTTAAAGTACGATGGCTTTTGTAAGCATCCGAAATACGGATGGGCAAGAAACCTAACGCCTTTCAAGTTGGACTAAATATCTTTCGGGCGAGTGATTCATTGTTGTAAGGCCGGCCCGAATGTTATATAATAGTTGAATAAGTTACAGATGTCTCTGTTCGGTGGTTGACCGAAAATCTATAGAACAGGCAATAAAGAGAACCGATTAATGTACAGAAAAATGCTACCATATTATATCCTACTTGCCAGTGTCCGATTTCTCGTCACCAGAACCCCTCAGCTCCTTCAGCCTATCATCAATCAAGGCAATTTCCACATCAACGCCAAGTAATTTTTCCTGTAGCATTGCTTTATACTGCTCATCGGACAAGTTTCTGATTGGTACCCATCGAGAATCAGCCATCCGTTCAGCCCATGTTTTTGTCGACGCCGGCTCTGATTGGAGCCGTGCCTGACGCTTCTCAAGTGTATTGTAAGAGTACTGTCCCACAAAGCCCAGCATGGAACATATGACTAGGCCAGGAAGGAAACGTCTGTCTATCCATTCTTTTAGTACGCTATCGATTCGTGGATGATCCAATCATCAAAATGATATTAGCGGACCACCACGATGGTGCCCGGGAAATACTCACTCATTGCCCAGTTAATCGCTCCGCCGGAAATGCCGCTGGATGCGACGCTTGAATAGATGCGTTCTTTTGCGGTTGCATTATCTTCGAATTGAATCCTAAGGATATTACTCCTTAGCCCTGTGAGAAGTCCTGGTTAATACAATTGGTGGCCAACTTCTGGAGTACTGCACTTACACCAGAACGAGCTACCGAATGCAAACCAATAGACTCCGGTAGATATTGATTTTATTATAGGGTGATGTGCTCGAAGCACCCCGGAGACACCGCCATACAGAAGACCGCAGGTGCCTGGGCCACAAAACTAGGTCAATAGAAATTCAATTGGAGCGCCGACAAGAGTAGGGCGTTGCCAATGAACATACCAACTAGAGCGCCCGCTTGTAGGACTGGGGGTACGGGTATGGATGTGCGAGGAGCACTCGGCCTGTCTTCTCCACTCATCTTGTATGCATTGTCTTTTGTCCGTGTCTGCTGTCTTTTTTGCGCAGGTGTTTGTTCATTCATCCTGTCGAGACTGGCCAGGGCTGCCGATCTTGCTTACTAATCACACATACTAGCTCGTGATTGGACAATACGCAATTTTGTTGTCTCTATTCTATTGATTGCGTTCAAATGGATACAAGGAATATGATTCGACTCCTGATAAAGTCGTAGGTATCTGAGTATGAATGCCTTTAAATTGAATTATGGTAGAGTTAAGCATACAATCTGTATAAGTTTGACTGCTAATCTCCAGACTTCATATGCATCCTTTACTCACTTAGTCACCAAAAGAGGCAGTAATGACTTTAAGCACATTTCTAGTGTATTACCAGTATCTTTTATCCCTGTTATACATTTCTACCTCGCCTTTGTCCTCTTTGGCTGTCGATATAAAACTTGATGCCAAGACATGCGAGAAGTGAGGTGGAGATAAGGGTTTACCGTTATGGGCCAAGCGCCGATCAGATAAGATAAGATGGCACCTCTTTTCCAATTTCCACGAACCGATGGGGTTGATGAAGGCAAGACGCTGTCCTTACACCGAGGAGCGTTGGCCTTTGGGTATGCGGTATATATACTTAATCTAGCCGTGCCATTACTCGGGTATAGAATTGAGAGGCCTCTCCTTGAACTGGTCTGGGGCCCTTCTTTCCAATTAGTTGAGGATTCATACGCCTATTTAGAGACACGAGGATGGCAAGAATTATCCTTAATTCATGGAATTGGCTCATCCGCTGGTTTTCTGAAGTATGCTCAAGGATAACTTCATCTCCTGCCTTTCCACCCAAGTATGCCGTTGCCTTTTCAGCCTATCCCCATCACGGACTGGAGAGTGTACATATACTTATATGAGCATCAGAGTTTCCGTCTTATTACCTATATATGCCATACAGTTGGTTATAGCCATCACCTGCCAAAATCAAGCGCTGAATCTAATACTACACTCTACAACCTGTCAGATATCAACCAATGTAGACCACATTCCTCCCAGCTGACGAATACCAATGACGGATGGCATCGCCGTCCACTCTATGCAGCTACTTACCACCTTTCTCTCTCTCTCTTATTATCCCTTATCCTTTTCATCATCTTTTCGTCCCCTCAACCTCGCTGCCCTAGATATCATGCTTACCTAAGCCCTATCCTATCCTTGTCCTCTGATTGGCCAGCTGCCCTCTCGCACGCTGACTTTTTTTTCTTTCCTTCTTTTAGCGTCATCACCAAAATTTATTATTTCGACTAAAAAGACACTCTTTCACTCTTCTCTGGCCTGGACAAGACCACATACACTACATACACAACCTCACAGAAGACAAGCTACCGCTTACTGGTGCCCAGGGACCTGTTTATCTATAGGCTTTTCTTTTAGGCTACTCACGCGCATTGCCTTTGCGCGTCCTGTCTTAATCGCAATCATGGGTTGGTTCACCTTTTTTGCCCTGTTCCACACTCCACCAAAACTGCCGCTGCGAGCCAGGCGCAAGGAGGCCACAGCCAAAAGAAAGCTGCATCGCTAACAATGATGTGTCTAGCTCCTGCAAAGTCGAAAGCCCAGAAGATGTCCATTGGGACATTTCTGGCGGATGAGTGTGAGTTTTGAGCCATCCTGATGGGGTTCGGAGAGAGGAGGAGGGGCCGTTGGAGGGATGTGGGAAGCGGAGTTGCTAACGGCCATGATAACTAGCCTACGGCTCCTGGGCCGATGAGATGGAGGATAATCCTATTCCATGTAAGTGCTTACCGTTCGTGTATAATTTCACGACAATCGCTGACTTTTTTCGCTCGACGCAGCCGGTGAGTTTATGCCACTTCGAGATCACGAGTCCACCGCCTCCTAATACATACATATCTACATATCAGTCTCCTCCTACGCACCCCGATCTGGCTATGGCGGAGACCGTGAACGTAACACGTTTGGAACATCCGGCGGGTATACCCAAGAGCATCACGGTATGAACACGGCAGTCCCCTATGATAACCGCACACTGTGCTGACAGAGGTTTTCTTCTCACAAAAAAGACCGCGGCTACTCAATGAGAGAAGAACTCCCTATGCCAACCCAGCCGCCATACACCGCTCACATTGGTAACCTTTCCTTCGAGGCCACCCAGGCTGACATCCAGGAGCTCTTCGCTGAGTGCGAGGTTACCAGCGTTCGTATTGTGGAGGACAAACTTACTGGATCTCCCAAAGGCTTTGGCTATGTTGAATTTGCCTCTGTCGACGGCCTCAAGAAGGCACTAACATTCCAGGGTACCTCTCTTCAAGGGAGGAATATCCGAGTGAGCATCGCTGAACCTCGTATGTATTCCGTTTGCCGTTAATTTCCGATAAACAACGCAGATTGTGGCGACTAACCCTTTTGTACAGCCAAGGACCGACATGATGGAAGGGATCTCGGCGACTGGACCCGAAAGGGCCCGCTGCCCGATCTTCCTGGCCAGCGGCGTGTATCAGACCGCCCTGCTTTCGGTGGTGCCCGCAACTTCGACCCTGCTTCTGATGCTGCAAACGAGCGCCCTGGCCGCCGTGGCTATGAAGCCGCCAACGATGGCAGATCGCGCGATTTCTCCACCTGGGAGAGAAAGGGACCTCTCTCTCCTAGCCAGCAAAACGCTCCCGCTAGAGAGGGTCGTCCCCACAGCAAGGATGGCCCTCAGTTCCGCAGAGCCTCCCCAGCTTGGGGTGAAGGCCGCTCACAAGACGGTTCTCGACCACCCCGCCGAGAATTTACTGAGCGTCCTGTCCCTGAGAGAGCCCCAACCGCACCCGAACTGGACAACCAATGGAGAGCTAGGATGCGGCCTGATGCCCCTGCTCAGCCTGAAACTCCTGTTGAACCTCCAACTCCCACTGCTGCTGCAGCTCCTGCCCCCGGAGCAAGACCGAGACTTAACTTACAGAAGAGGACGGTCCCTGAGTCAGAGGCTGCCGCACCATCCCCAGCTGCGGCTGAAACCCAGTCTAGTATCTTCGGAGGCGCCAAGCCTATTGATACTGCTTCCCGAGAAAAGGCAGTGGCCGAGAAGAGAGAGCTCGCCCTGCAACAGAAGAAAGAGGCTGATGAGAAGGCCAAGGCCGAACGCATAGAGAAGCAAAAGGCAGAGAAGGCTGCTAAAGAAGAAGCTGAGAAAGCTGAGGCAAACGGAACAAAGGAAGAGACCACAGAAGGTGGAAAGCCTGTTGAGATCCTAAAACGTGAAGAAGGTGAGGAGAAAGCCGCAGATGAGGGTGAAAAGGGAGCTGCCACCACCCAGAAGACCGAGGCTGGTCAAGACAAGGCCCGCCCACAGCCACCAAGCCGGACAAGCAGCGGCTGGCGAAACGGTGGCGGACGAGGCCGTGGTGGACCACCACACAGCCGCGGAGGATCTCGCAGCACTTCCCATCGCGGGCCTCCTGCACAAGGCACTCCATCTGAGACTGCTTCTCCCGCATCCCCTGCGACGCCTGATGAAGACGGATGGAGCACCGTCAGTGCGAAGCAGAAGAATGTCCGTCGTGGAAACTACAACCGTGGCCAGGCTTCTTAAGCATCGGCAATTTGATACCCAATATATCAGAAACGAAGGCCACGCCAGAGGACTTGCATACCAGGTCACCACAATCTGCCTGACGTTCTTTTAAACCCTATTTTAGGATGTCAGGCCACTCGCAGAATCGTCCCTTTAGCCTTTGTTCTGCAGATCCTCTTCCACCATCCTCTCTGCCTTCTCACCATAACGATCAGATAAGCGAATGTCTTTCAACGTTTCCGAAAATGATGATGCTGCCTTTTTCCCTTTACATTAACGGACTTTATTTGACATTCCCTTCTTCCTTCCATTCTCGCCCGTTTTTAACTATCCTCTTCAATTTCACTTTCTTATTTCTTTTTTGGCTACTGAGATATGAAAGAAGCATGGGAATCGATCTACCATACACTTGCCCCGCCTCCCAATCGGTCTTCTTGCAATATATCCTCTCAGCCTCCTCTTATACCTTGTTTTTTACACGGGAAATTTGAAGCTTTTGTCTTTCCATGTTATGTCATGTCACTCTACAAAAAACGTCAAACGATTCCTTGTCTCATCCTTTCTCTTTTCACCCTTTCTTTCATCTGCATGACTTTTTACTGTTAAGTGATTTCTCTAGCGTTTTTGATTGAGACTGACTCGAAAAAGGCTGATGGGTTTCTTCCATCACTGCTTTCCATGTACTCTTACGCTGTACATGACGCTTTTTCTTCCGGAAGACCTGGTTGTTCTGATGATTTTTGTTTTTTGCGCAGCTTAGCTGGTGTCTCTTTCACACTGGTGTTTGGGGGATCAATACTACAGCATCGGCAGCAAACGAGTCTCCTTTTAGTTTTGACCTATGACATCTCCCTCGACAGCCACTTCTTTCCTGGCAGGGAATAGCTGGTGTTAAGGGCTTCTCTTTCAGTTCTTCGGGAAGAAGCAAGTTGCCCTCTTTTTTTGAGGGCTCGTCCAGCATCCGCACTCGCCTTTGGTCAGGCAGGCTACCTACTTGCCTTGTTCAAGCGGAAACCGGTATTAGCCCTTCGTCTCCAACTTGAAAGCCGGCTTTGTTGCAAAACATTCTCTTCTACTGTCGAGACCAGCTGTCTCTGCCCCTTGGTTCAAGATTTGCGCATGCATGTAACTAACGGTCTTTTCTTAACGAGTCTGATCAGCTTTTCCCTCCCCCTTTACTATACATTTCTTTCCTTCGTGTCTAAAGCTAGCTGTGTTTTCCTATTGGAATCCATTTCTTCTCCCTCTTTCTTCTCTTCCAATCTGCCACAGTGTCTCTCGTCTGGAGAAGGAAAAGCGTTTCCATTAGTTGCAAGTAGGATAGAGGAGTTTGCTGATAATTCACTTCCATAACTATTATACAAACCGCAAACCGCCGATGGACACTCTCTAGGTCCTGATACTCTCGCACAGTTTACCCGAGTAATGCTTCTTCGGCGTCTGGCCCTATTGAAGCTAGATATCAATCAACGTACGGAGTACCGTACTCTCTCTCTTTTTTTTCTTTTGAAACCATCCGCCCCCTGATTCGCTATGTCAGACGGACGAGGCAAAGTTGCTTGTTCCATCCTGTTACATCTTGACCGGCAAACCAGCTCGTTTGTCTTAGCCCAGCGCCGGCTGAGGAACCCGGGAACTATTTCTCTTCATTCTCTTCCGTCTAATCGAGTCCATTTTCAAGTCCAGCAGTAGCAGCAGCAGCGGAGAGAGCAGGAAACCAACAAGTAGCTGGTGGCTTCAGGTTTGTCCAGACTTTTGACCTGCATACTGTGGCTTTTTTAGCCTCCCCCAGCGTTCGTTTCAAAAGGCCGAAAGGAAGTTTTGTGCCTGCTGATCCATCTTGCAGTCGACTTGTCAATCTTCCCCAGACGCATATCAAATACTCAAATACTCAAAGACATACAATAATACTTGCTTTGCTTCTACTATACAGAGTGTCCGCCTGTCTTTCTGGTTCCCCCGCGACCGGTTCCTGCGATCAAAGTCACCTGGTCCTTGCAGCTGCAGCGACTGCTTGCATGAGGTAGCGGGCGGCTATGCGACTCGTAAACCATCTCCAACAACACACGGATGACTCTGGAGAATCGACACTTTAAGGACAGGAAAGGCATATATGTCTCCAGCAGCAGTTTCGCCTACACATATTGAGCCGCCGCACTCCTTGGGCGCTATCGCTGTGGGAGCTGGCGGCTATGGTAGTGATGCGCCAGGCATGTCGAGCACCGCTTGTCCGAGATGTGGGTTTGAAGGCGCATATCGAGAGCTGCAGGACATGAACATAGCCCAGCAGAGGCGGATAGAGGAGCTGGAGGCGCAGGCCAGACTGCTGACCGAGAAAGCTGCTGCCTCTGGTATGTAGTTACCGACTCCTTATAACGCTACGAAAGGAAGCTGACCACCTACATCTTTCTACTTCCAGCCGGGAAACTAGCTGATTATGAGGACGGAGTGAGTAGCCAGTCGCAGACCTCACCATGCAAACCAGTGAACGCGCCGGAGCTCCGGAACCTGGATCAGCACCCGCCACAGCAGCAGTCGTCTCCTCCTCCCCAGCAACAAACTAGGCTGGCAACACTTGCTTCATACTTCCCCTACGGCAGACGTACGAGTAGCAACGCTAGCGCGACCCAGTCTCGACAATCTGTGTCCTCAAACCACGTCCAACAGTCCTCATCGATCTCTTCTCCCCCATCCACAGGCGGAAGCAAAAACGGAGAACAGTCGACCATGAGCCCATTCGGCAACGGCCTCCCACAACCAACAAGCTTCCTCCAGGGCGCGCTAAACCGCGAACAAGCTCTCCGGAAGGAGGCAGAGTCACGTCTCACGCAAGCAAATACCGAACTCGAAGAGCTGAGCGCAGAGCTATTCATGCGAGCGAACGAGATGGTAGCGAACGAGCGGAGGGAGAGAGCAAAGCTCGAGGAGCGTGTCCAGGTGCTCGAGAAGCGGGACAAGGAGAAACGGACGAGGCTTGAACGGCTGGAGAAAGCAGTCGAGCGGGTTGAAAGAGTCAAGGGCCTGATAGGCAGCCCATAGTTCCGGCATGACTCCTGCTCATAGCCCTTACTTCCCCCTGCGTTAACTATACCCCATTATGGCGTTTGCGATGATTCGGCCTGCTTCTTTATATGATTGTTATGCGATTATGTTTGTGTGTTTCCTCCAGCTTGCTTGTCCACCGAAGCACGACTCAGGTAGTTCTGCTGCATTTTCATTTGTTTAGCAGGGCTCGGGTGTCTGGATATGCTGGCGTTATGTCTCAACCCTAGGCTATCAATTTAATAATATAACTAATATTCCCACTGGCGGTGGTCATCGAATGAACTTGAGTGTTTATCCTTCATACTCAATGAAGAAGTTCTCGATGTTTTTGTCTTCGTTCCTTACGCGCGATTACGTCATGATCATGTCATACACATCAGGTGATTCATATTAGTCAGCTATGGAAATAGGGCTATTAGTCATCAACCCTAGTCTCTTTTTTCCTCTCGCTTAGAAACACTCGCGCTAGGCCGCAACGGGAAGTGCGACTCTTTGGAAAAGCGACTGCGGGCAAATCTCGAGATTTCTCTTCCCTTTTTTTTGACGTCGACATTTACGAAGAACAACCACCCAACAATAGCTTCGGGACGCCGTAACATCAGTCAAGGTGTGTTTCCCCTCAATGCTGGCGTCGCAGACGTCGATGCTGGAGATTCTCCGTTCGGTTTGTTTGAGCTAACCCTGTGTCTTTTTTCATCAGATGGTCGCCGCAAAGAAGCATGTCCCGATTGTGAAGAAGCGTACGTCTATCTCGAATCTCCCTCCCCAGGTCAAGCCGGCTATAGATTCGAATCCCGTGCACTTGGGAAATATGAGCGGTTACGCCTTGGACATTCGCGCCTCTGCTGCCTTGTTGAACGCAACTGGATATTTCATTATTTGAAAGGGGAAAATTAAAGGCATATGGAAAACAACAAGCTGATTGAATTTGTTGTTGGTTTATAGACAAGAAGCGCTTCAACAGACACCAGTCTGACACCTACATGCGTGTTGACCCCTCATGGCGCAAACCAAAGGGTATTGACAACCGTGTCCGCCGACGCTTCTCCGGCCAGGCTGCTATGCCAAAAGTACGTTTCATCCCTACCATGCGGCTCCCTTAGGAACGAAGCACGCCCGTGAAACAATCGCATTGCGCATTGGCAACGCAGATTCGAAATTACCAATTGAATGGATAATACTGATACATGGTCAACCCGAATAGATTGGATACGGCAGCAACAAGAAGACCCGCCACATGATCCCATCCGGACACAAGGTCTTCCTCGTCCAGAACCCCAAGGATGTTGAGCTATTGCTCATGCACAACCGCACATACGCCGCTGAGTATGTTTCCCCGGAAACCTCACCTTAATGAAGGGCCGAGGTTGCTTCCTACATATTTCAGCGGTCATGTCTAATTACCTTCTCACCTATTAGGATCGGCCATGCTGTTTCTTCCGCCAAGCGCGTCGATATCATTGCTAAGGCCAAGGCTCTCGGTGTCAAGGTCACGAACCCCAAGGGCAGACTAACGACCGAATCGTAAACGCTTTCCCTCTTTGTTCGTTTGTTTGCTGGGCGGTTGGGGAGAACTGGGTGTTGTCATGAATCACTTAATCTTCGTCCTTGTTCTACTCTAGGAAACGCGGTTTTCCTACCAGGGTTGGGTTAGATGAATTTATTAAAAAAAATGAATAAATTACCCGATTCTCACTCAGACACTCTTCTGGAATCCAGTTGATCATGTTTGCACCATATGTCAACTACGCACCCGCATCAGTGATGACTCTGCAAAGGTGTGACTTGGCTTCTTTATGAAGCAACGAGACATACCTTAGATGTACAAGCTTCATCTCATGATATTACGATATACACATATCATAAATGTTAAACACATGCAACTTTCTACGTAAAATCTTTCATTTCCATGCTTATTCGGTATCAAAAACAAGAAGACTCTCATGTTGTATATGCAAGCATTTATAGTGGTCTATCTACCAAAGTCTATAGTTCACTTAACCGCTAGGCCGCAACGGGTTCAGCTTTCATATTCTCCTCCTTCAACTTGGTCAAGTTGATAGTCCCCAACCCTTCTACCAAAGCTGTTTCATCATCTTCCATCATGCCTTTCCCAATAACAACGGCACCATCCGCGTCTTCGGCCCACTCTGGTGCCTCTGTTGGGCCTTCAGCACCCTTAGGCGGCATAGCCCATTCAGGCATCTGGCTCTTGTACTTCCATTTTCCCGCCATATCAGCATATGCAACGGCATGAAGGAATATACCCATCTCGTGTATGCCTGGGTCAGAGTACAGCTCAGTACCGCAGATGTCACAATTCTCTCCGTTCATCTTCTCACATTTCCTTCTAAGATAGTCATTTATCATAACATCATGCTCGCGTGCAAGCAGTTCGTTGACAACATTTGGATCACCACCTAGAGTAACACGCTCTGGAGGTGGAGTCTGGAATGTTTGGTAGCAAAGCGAATCTGCCGGTTCGGTTTTGCCCATGCGTGAAAGGCGATCAATTATTTCCGCATCATTTTCACCTGTACTTTCGGATTTGCCTAAATTGGTGCCAAAAACACGGCGGTTTGAATAGATAGGGTCGTTTGTAATTGGGTGACCGAGGAATTGAAGGTGAACTCGAATTTGATGGGTTCGTCCTGTGAGCGGGAGGCAGTGGACAATGCTATATCCTTCATCAACATCAGCGGGCGAAGGTGGCGGTGTGGATGCTCTGGAATCAGGATCCTGTGAGTTGGCGGTCTCTCCATTTGATTCATCTCCCTTTTTCACAGGGGGGTAATATGCGATCCTGCGGAACTTCGTTTGAGCATCCTTTCCTGTAGCTCTAACACGGTTCAACCCAAGAATAGGGCTAACTTTCAACATTGGCTGGTCGCAAAGCACGACTCCATCCGGAAAATATCCCTTTACACGTGCAATGTATTCTTTTTGAAGAGTTCGTGATCGTAATGAGTGCGCCATTTGTTCTGCAGCCTTCGGGTGCTTTCCAAGAAACATGATACCAGAGGTAAGCCTATCGAGCCTATTGCATGGATATGGGACCCAGCCGACACCGCGCTCCGCTCGCAGTATCTCGATTATTGAATTGTAGTTGTACCTCCCAGCGGGATGCACCGGTATACCAGCAGGTTTGTCAATAACAATAATATCATCATCCTCATGGATAATTTTGATCCGTTGACTAGTCACTGGAGGTTCATGTCTATGTAGTGTATGCGAAATGACCTGTCCATTGTTTATTATACTGTCGGCCGTAGCAATTTTCCCGTCGATAGTAATTCTTCCATTATCGATCGCGGCTTTCTATATTAAACAAGCTGTCAGTTTCGATTTGTACTAAACTATATGGCACAAACCAAGGAATGACAAACATAGTATCCATTCGCCCTGTCTCTGAACTCTGTAGTAAATATTTCTAATATGTTTTTCCCCCTCCATCTCTCCTTGCAATACGTATTGTAAGTGTAATAGTAGGGAGCCACACGAAGGAGCCCCTTTTCAACATAATAAGGTCGTGGCCATGGATCGCATGGCGTAACACAAACTTCGGGGGGTTCTTTGAAAACCTCAGGTTCTGGCTTCGACTCTTCATATGTTGTGAGAGCCATGGTTGGAGGGGAAGGAGGGCCTCGCCGTGCCAGGTAGGCAAGGACACGCGGTGAAAGCGCCAGGAGTGAAAGTAGGCAAACACAATATGCTGAAAGACGTCGCCTGGAATAGCAACGCACAAAGATGGTATCAGCTTCTTAACTGAATGCGCAATGCGATATTTGATATATTTATTCTTTGGCTTCTTCAAAACTTTCAATCCGATCCATGCATGGGATTTATATTGATCATGTGATATAAATTTCTATTAAGGTTTAGGTTATCATTAGTCATACATCTTATCTGATAAGAAAAAGCCTCGGCTCAACTTTATCGCGACTTTCCTTTTGGTCTCAACGGTCAAAACGAAGTTCGTGTTTATTCCAATAAGGATGAAAGGAGGCCTTGAAAAACAAAGAGGGCGCGCATTAGACACTATGAGCAATGATATAACCAGCAAAAAGCGAAGAATGAGGAGGGATTACGCATATCACCTGGAATACCGCACAAGATGGTAGGCAAATCACCTTGCTAGATATTGGACGCAGCTAATCAAGAGTGCGGAGTAAAAGGTCCGATAACGACATGTATTCGCATTTAAATAACAGCATATATGCATTCCTCTTCGATTCGATCATAAATTCGTATTTGATCTCCCATTGTGGTCTTAATCCATTCACCTCGAGCTCCTCAGCACAAAACACAGCTACCGAATCAGCGCAGATCGGCCTAGTGGTATCCTCATATTGTGACTATTTTGCCTCTGTCGCTTTTCCGGATGTACTCGAGCTAGGGCTTCGTGTGGTCAAGCTGGGTAAATCTAGTGTCACATACGAGGTTGGAGTCTTTAAGCAGGGCGAAGAGGCCGTGAAGGTTGTTGGCGGGTTTACGCATGTGTTTGTTGAGAAAAAGGACATGAAACCTACTTCAGCCGGTATGAAGTCAGAAATTCGCAAGGGGCTAGAAAGGTTACTTGTCGAAAGAGGAGGTGAAGCTGCAAAGCTGTAGTATGTATTGATAGGTTCTTGTTCTTGATAATCATAATAAACCCCGATTCAATTCTCTATTCTTTCAACTGTCATGCAGATGGTTTAGTGTCAATGAAATCAATTAATGAAACACACCCACCAGGCTCTAAGAAAAAGAGGAGAGAGGAAGAGTAAAAACCAAATTTTCTTTTCTTATCCCAAACGCCCAAAGCCTGATCTCCGATAACAAGTCGTGTCTTTGTCTAGCAAGTCATCAAGGTGAAGTCATGAGAGCCAAACCAGTAGGTAGGCTAAAAAAAAAAAAGGAAATAACAAGGAGAGTATAGGCGAATAAAATAGCAGTGGTGTCCGCCCAGTTATGGTGATATGTTGAGGTTTCAGAACCTATTGGGTAGCACATTGAGCGCCTCCCTCACCGTCTTCATCGTCTTCATCAACCCAGGCACCACCTCCCTGGTTATCGTTTTCACCCATGTTATCCAGGCTGGCCTTGGGGTCAAATTCTACCTCGTCGATAGTGTCAGCCTCGATGGCAGGTGCTTTATTAGCCGGAAGCAGCTCTCGGAGCTGGCTCAGGGTCGCTGGGTCAGAGGCCCAGCCGTCTTCAGGGAATTTGATCTCAACGATCAGATAAAGGTCACCGCGCGAGTCGCCACGCTTGAATGGCATACCCTCACCGGCAATCTTAAGAACTTGCCCGGGACGGAGGACATCACCAGGTTTCTGGGGATGCTTAATTTCAATTCCTCTTCCATCAAGATGTTTCAAAACAACACGGGAAAATCCACAGAGTGCCTCGGCGAGGGTAACTTCTAGAGTGGCAGATAGGTCGGCACCGTCACGCTTGAAAGTCTTGTGCTCAGCTTGTTCCAAGTGGAAGATGATATCGCCAGGCTCCACATCAGGCTGCTGGTCACCTTCGCCTTCGAGGATAATCTTCTCTCCTTCCCTGTATGCAGGTTTAGTGAAGAGAACTTTGCGAAGAGGGCATGTCTATATACGTACCTTGCACCTCGAGGAATATAAATCTCGAGTATTTTCTTTTCCTCGGTGACTTTCTTTCCCTTACATTTCTTACACTTATCTTTTGGCTGGAAGAAAGAGCCAGCACCATCGCAAGTGGTACATTTCATCAGCGACTGGGTGACCAAACCTGGCCCAATCTGTACCAAGGTCTCCTTTTGTCCTATTCATTATGATTAGCAACCATAGAATTTAAAGCCGCCATATGCAAGATAATGGCCTACCTTGACCTCCGCAAGAGGAACACTTCTTTGCAACAGCCTTTTCTTTACCACCTTTCCCTTTGCACAAAGTACAAATGACGTTCTTTGTGCTGGCGAACTTGACGGTTCTGCCCTTGTAAAGATCTTCCAGGCTAACGGTATATTGCTGCTCCTCGTTGGGTCCCTTCCGGCGTCTCCCCGGCCCACCAGCTCTGGGGTCAAAACCGGGCATGCCCGCGCCACCCATATTCATGCCGAACATGGAGGCTAGTATATCATCTAGGTCAGGCCCACCACCCATGCCACCTGGTCGACCTGAGCCATCGAACGCGGACATGCCATGAGTATCGTAGATATGTCTCTTCTCTTCGTCATAGAGGATCTCGTAGGCCTGGCTGACGGCCTTGAATTTTATTTCTGCTTCTTTTCGTCCATCTTCCTGCACTTTGTCCGGGTGATGCTGGAGTGCTAGCTATTTGAAGATAATGTCCCTGGTCAGCAAATCGTCCATAAAGAAGCCGCTGGATCTCACAACAGTTATCCCCATACCTTTCGATAAGCCTTTCGAATCTCTTCCTTTGACGCGGATCTGTCGAGGTTCAGAACCTCTGTTATACCGATATTAGCACCATCCCTCACCTGCACTCGATGGCTTCTCCGGGAAGGTAAATATACCGTAGAGATCAATCTCTTCTGCTGCGGAATTCACTATTTCACCATGTTAGTATCACAATCAGATTCATTCGGATGATTCCGTCAGGTATTCTTTGACAATTGCCTGTTGATACTTACTCTCTTCCCAACGCCTGCGGCTCTCGCGACTCTAGAATGGAAGAAAAGACCCTCCGCCGACTTGATGAGCAAAGAGCGGTGATTATAAAGGTCCGTCCCAATAGCTACAGCCTTCCGAGATGAGATTCGATTGATTCCCTCAAGGTCGAAGGAATATAATGAAAATTTGTAATTCCGCCTGTTTGATTTGGTCAAGAGGAAAAAGTTCTTAAAATCCTTAAAATTTTTAGCGGCGGGAGGAAAAGCCGTTTAAACTACTTTTACTTTGACAGCAACGGAAGTGAAAGAAGGGGGAAAAAGGACATCATTCAGCTGAAACCACCCTGTCTTTGGATGTTGAATGAAAGAAGTGAATTTGCTGCTGGCCCTTCGATTACCGTACTCTGAGAATGAATAGCTAGCTTGGGCATTCACCATGAAAGCGCTTTTGCTGCCGACTCGCGGCCGCCTCGTCGCTGGAGCTCCCTGGGTCTGCCGGAGCTGCCAGTCGCATTTCTCAACCACGGCCAGGCTTTCGCTATCGCATAAAAGAACCAAGAATGCTCTGCCTGATTCGCCGGCTCGGACTCGGTTTGCGCCTTCGCCGACGGGATACCTTCATCTTGGATCGCTGAGGACGGCGTTGTTCAACTACCTGCTCGCAAAACGCACCGGAGGCCAGTTTCTTCTTCGAATTGAAGATACGGACCAGGTATGGCTACTTCGGAGCGCTTGGCCCATATGGCAATTGTGGGAGTGAAAGGAATACTTGCTGACGGCCGAAGAAAAGGACCATTCTCGGAGCTGAACAGCGGCTTTACGACGATCTTCGATGGGCAGGCATACACTGGGATGAAGGTACGGCTGGAGCTCAATATGATATATAATATATGTGGGAATAGACATTATGCTGATATTCATATTCAATGGCTCTAGGCCCGGTAGTTGGCGGTTCCTACGGGCCGTACAGACAGGTAAACAAGCCCTACTAAAGCAGCATCCTGATACTTGAAGCTCACGAAAGCCCTTAGTCCGAGAGAACCGAGCTCTACAAGACCCAAACCAAGCGACTTATCTCAGGGGGCCATGCGTATAGATGTTTTTGCACGCCGGAACATCTCGATGGCGTAGCTCGACACCGTAACGAGGTGGGGTTGACCCCTGGGTACGATCGAACCTGCGCCGGAATATCAAAAGAGGAGTCTGATGAACGAGCAGCCAACGGAGAGCTTCATGTTGTTCGTCTACGAGTTGATGATCAATACCCCATGTTCAACGACCTTGTATATGGAAAGACCGGCCAAAACCGCCCGGCCGGACAACGTGGAGGGCACGAGGGTGTATTTCCAGACCCAATCCTTATAAAGTCTGATGGCCACCCCACCTACCATCTTGCTAATGTTGTGGATGATCACTTCATGGAGATAACCCATGTTATTCGTGGCACTGAATGGATGTCTTCAACGCCCATGCATATGGCCCTCTACAATGCCTTTGAATGGACACCGCCCCAATTCGGCCACGTCCCTTTATTGGTAGATATGAACGGTCAAAAGCTCAGCAAGCGGAATGCAGACATCGATATATCGTTCTTCAAAGACCAGCAGGGGATTTTTCCCGAGACACTCGCCAACTTTGCAGCCCTTCTTGGGTGGTCTCATACTCGCAAATCTGACGTGTTCAGTCTAAAGGAGCTAGAAGAGACAGTACGTATCGTCTCTTTCGTTCCTGAATTACAGTGTTGTGCTAATATCATGTCTAGTTTAACTTGAAACTTACTAAGGGAAACACTGTCGTTGCCTTTGAGAAACTTTGGTTCCTACAGAAAGCACATGCCAAACGGTATGCTGCGGAAGGAGGGCCTCAATTTGACGCTATAACTCAGCAGGTTGTTAAAGCTGCGCTGAAAAGATTTACGCCTGAAAAGCTGTACGTTATTGAAAACACAGAACCACAGAGATAAGATACTGATACCTCCTTAGGTCCCCAATTCTTAAGGGTCGACCCCTTGAAAAACATGTAGCATCACTACTGCGAGAGGGTGCTCGATCATATACCACCGCTGAAGAATTCATTGCACAAAACGAGACATTCTTCACACAGACAATAGATCGGCCCTCCTATACCTCTGCGGCAGTAGCTAAGAATCCATCATCTGAACCAGCTATCCCGATTTCTACTCTCCATACTGCTGCTGCTGTTCTAACCATGATTCCTGAAGAGCACTGGACAGCCGAGGTCCATCGTGCAAATATTGCTTCCTATATATTTTCTGATGCTTCAGTCTCTGCTCTTAATAGGGACGCTGCCATTGCAAAGGCGGAACAGGAAGCTAGAAAAGAGCTTTTCCATTACCTTCGCTGGGCTCTTTCTGGAGGGGCGCCTGGGATTGGCATACCTAATACCATGGAGATATTAGGACGAGACGAAACCGTTCGTCGACTGCAAGATGCTAGAGAAGCCACTAAAGCTCTCCTCCCTCAGAAAAAAATGCCGAGCAAAAAATCTGCATCGACCACGGGGGAGGCGGAATCTAAAAGCTGGATGGGATCACTTGCTGGACTATCCAAATAGGAGCTCAGCAGGTGGCATAGCGACACCGTGTATTTTTATCATGTTTTATTTGGACCACTGTAACCACTGTACTTGTATAGAGCCACACCTATAACATATACCTTACGTCCTGTTTCATAACTACCAGAGACTTGTCACAGATATAGAAAACTCGAATTAAAGAATAAATAAAGACTTAGCCAACTAATAAGTACACAGAATAAATGCAGACTGAAACAGCAAAAATGGAACCAGACATACAGAATGAGAAATTGAGGGAATCATATGTCCCTTGGGCTGAATAGCCTTGTTTTCTCTGCTGGCTAAGGCAGGGATTGAATGAATCCATTGCCAGAAATATTGAAAAAAGGAAACTGGAACATATTGCCTGCCAGCAGGTGGTCGAGTGTGAGATGAGTGACGACAATGAAATGGTACCCCTGAGCGCAGAGGAATAGGGGGTGGTAGGGAAGCAGAGACATCCTTCCACAAATCTAACCTGTAAGGCACCAACCGATAAAAAAGGAAAGGGAAAAAGGAAAAGAAAAATTACAATAAATCATTCGCAAAAAACAACAGCCAGACAAGCTGAAGGACAACCAGTGGAAGAAAAAGAGAAAGAAAAAAGGGGCGAGGAATGACGTTCGTTCATATGGCGTGAACACATATCTCGAGCAATCGTGCGTGTCAGCTCTGGTCTGCTGGTCCAGGAAGCGAGGTGATCCAGGAATCAGGATATACGGCGGTATAAAATCCTAGCTTGCACTCGACGGCCTTCATTGTTTCATGGCTTCATCCCAATGGCGCCAGACGCCTACTCCAACGCTCCAAGTGAACTCCAAGAAACGCCTATCCAATGCGTCGGTTAGTAGTGTTCCAAATCATCTGTCCATCCATCGCTACCGTCGACTCGGTGCGAGTAGTGGTTCTCTGCCTCGTATTCAGAGCTTACGCCCCGGATGCCCCTTATTTTCTTTGTGCCTCCTAGATCCCCCGGTGTTCCCATGCGTTTGCCATGGGCGGCTCGTAGTTTAGCATAATAGACATCAGTTGCATCTGCTTCAGGCTCGGATGCATCGTCATAGGTTTCCCAGTTTTCTGAGCCAGATGTTACTGTTTGTATTGTAGAATTTGATATCTGTCTGTTGGAGGGATTTTGCGGCCGGTATTGTTTGTCACTTGACTGGCTAACGAAAGATGACTGCTGGGCTTGGTAATGCTCGCTGTCTTGGATGTTAGAGTGTAGCGATTGAACAGAGCAGTTTACACTCGACGCCTGCAAAGGTACTGAAGGCTGTGTACGCGAACGTTGATGATGCTTCCTCTCCTGTGGCTCCTCCTCATCTGGGCTAACAGATGTTACATTACCACTGGAGCCGCCCGAAATCAGGCTTGGACAATGCTCTGACTCAGTCCTGTAAGAAGAGAAAGATGTCTGTGGCCTTGGTGGGTGGAACAGATCTCTCATCTTTGGTGGTGGTGCTCTCGGTGGTCCCATAGGGACCCTGACAGTTTGGGAGGAGTAGGTATGTGTCGGCTGCTCCCGTCTTTCTGGAGAGTTATTTCCATGCGGAAGGTTGGCCAATGGAATACGGGGAGCAGGTATCTTTGAAGGAGATTTTGAAAAGGTTCCGGCAGCTGCGGAGTAAGGTCTGGGGATGTTTCTCACAGAGCCGTGGCTAGTTGGTGTCTTTGCCCGTGATGGAGGAGGGTTAGCTGGTTTAGGTGGAGCTCCACCACGTAATGATGGAGGTGCTCCTCGGACAGAATTTGCCCTTGATGCGGTAGAGAATGAAGAGGGCGTTTTGCACCGCGGAGGAAGCTTCGATGGTGGAGGCGCGGGTGTAACTTCGTCCAGATATCGTTCGCCATGCACTAGGAATGGTCTACCATATTCGTCTTCCCACTGCTGGAGATTCTTCCTGAGTTCCAACTCAACCCTTGGTAGCTCCTTTGCAATCCTCTTTCGCATCTTCTCTTCTCTAAGGAGCCGGGTCGGATCGCGTCTCTCGCCCTTGTTACCACGGGCCATCAACCTGGAAGCATCTTGGCTGGAAGCGTTAAGAGAATTGCGGTCCTCAATCAGAGACTTGTGCTTGTCAACCAGTTGAAGAATTGGTGCTCTTTCCTCCAACAGCGCCTCAAGACGCGCGATTTCTCCTTCGTGGGCGGATAATAGAGCGTCACTGTAAACATCTGAAAATGCCGGGGTGAAGTCCAACATTTCTTCTTCCGAGTAGTATAAGTTGTCCCATAGCTCTTGTAACCGACATCGAGCATCTTCGACAAAGAGATGTAAGTTTTGTCTCTTGAGTTCGTTAAGCCGGGAAAGCTCCTCCTCAAACTCGTTTATGGCTCTCAGCCCACAACCACGGTTTGAAGCCAGGAAGGCTTTTCTTTCAGGCTCCTCAACCCCTAGCTTGTCCCAAAGGGCCTCTACTGCTGCCTTGAGTTCCTTTAATTTGCGTTCCCTGTTGTTCTTCTCGTCCAGAAGTTTCTCTCGTCGTGAGCGGAGGTTAGCGATGTCTGATTGGTGAAGGCCTAATTGTTCCGGAGAGTCACGGTAATGTTTAACAATCAGGGGCTCCGTTTGGACCTGTGGTGTGCCGAGTTCGGCCCATAAATTCACGATATCTTGTCCCAGGCTGCTCATTGTTGCAACGCGGCGGTTGTACTCTTCATATACTCTTGTGAACTCAGCGTCGAGCGCCTTAACATATGTAGAGGAAAGGTCGAATGATGGAGGAGCCACAGCTCCGGGCTCCGTGGGTGGAAGTTCTAGGGCAACGAAGGATGGCTCGAGGTGCGACGAGTAAGATTCCAAGGCTTCCACGAGCTCTATGCATTTGTGTTAGGGAAATGATTGTTCTTCAAACTGGGCGAGGGAGGTGTAAACAACATACTCTTTACCTGTTCGAATCTCTCGCGGTGTAGTTTACTAACCGAGTTATGTTTTTCCTTGAGAGCTTCAAGACACCTGTTTAAGGGATATGTGATCTCAATTTCCTCGTACTCTCGGTTCCCTCTCCCCATACCGTCAAGGGAGGCTTCCATCTGTTTAATAGTTGTCTTAAGATGGTGGGCTTCTTCCATCATTTCGTTCTTTTCTCTGTTTTATTTTAGAATCCGCCATTCAAACATCATTATGCATTTTGGGTCTTAGTGTATCTTACTCGTCAACACGCTGCAAATGCCCGTGTAACGTGTCTGAGAGAGCTGAAAATAACTGCGCAACAAGTGTCAGCGGTGATCAGCCACGCAAGCCATTTAGGGGAATGTTAGGTCACTTACCTCAGACTCACGCGACTCCCGCTCATGGTGAGGGACGCCAATATCATCGAATAGGCCATGGAGTTGCTCGACGATGGAGTTGACCTGGCTGGTCAGGTAGCTTGTATCCACGGCCATGCCCGGCTCGCTTGGTGTGTAGATAGCTCCAAGCACAAAAACTGTGTTGTTTACTGCTGCCCAGGAAAGATAATCACGATAATTCTAGAGTAAAAATCGAGTTTCTGTCTCGCGTGGTGCGTCGCGATCGAGTGGATGTGGGATGTCGCGATGAGGAGGAAACGAGCGAGGGTCAGATAAACAAGGGCAGAGCAAGGGGTCAATCGCAGTCCATATCATGCAAGGCGCAGTTTCATGATATGATCAAAGGGCGACGAGGCAGTCGAAGCGAGTGGGAAAACAGTCTCTGCGAGCTCCTGTCGATTGTTGTCTGGGAAAATGTTGGCCATGCGGACGACGATCTGGTTTAAAAGAAGTTGCTCGTTGCTTTCGGCTTTGCGATTTGTTGACTCGCCGGAAGTTTCCACGGCAACGGCTGACTCAGCATGTAAGTCATGCATCACGTGGGACGACTTTATTTTTACTTCAACAAAAGAAAAAGCGACGACGACGACGAGAAGATGACAGGATGATAGGAAGACGATAAGAAAATGACAGTTAGATGTGCATTTAGGGCCGAGTCGGAGCATACAAAATGCCCTTTATGGTGGTGTTTATACGGCCGGTTGGACGGTTTATACCCTGCGTCAAGAATGGAGAGGAGCCGAAGATAATTGAGAGAAGCCAGGATGGTTCTATACCTACATTATCAATATCATCCTGGATTTTACAGTAACATGGGACTTCTCTCTTTATATCTCTCAAAGCTGCAATACCCAGCACTATGAGACAGCCTATACATACCAATGTTGAGTCTTCAGGGAGATAATGCTAGGTTTATTTATACCCCTTTATACCCTCTAGTAAATGAAGATAAACTATATAGTAGTATATAATCTCTGTGATATGATGCATATATTAGATATATCAGGGTTTGTATTTCTATGCTGGGATTCTGGCACCAGCATAGAGAGATATATCTCCCTTTTCTAAGCAAAGGCTCAAATATTTCCTATGCCATATCTACTGCTGAAGACGCCATTATCATATTGTCCTCCTGTCCTATACTGGCATCCACGTGACAAACACTGTCCTGAACGCACAATGAAATAAAAGGAGTTCGTTCTCACTTCAGAAAGGAAAAGGACTTCTTCTTTTCAGCCTTTTCTTCTTCACCTTTCTGCCCTTACCTGGCGCCTCTTATTTACAGCTAACCGCCTACTGTGGAAGACAAGACAAGTTAACGCGTTCAAGATGTGTTTCTTCGGGAACGACGACGATGATATGCCTCCTGCACGCTATATTGATCCTCCTGAAGGCTCTAGATTCATCACGGCTGGGGGGTCCGGCCTTATCTATTCCTCTCCAACCTGCCGTGGAGAGATCTACAAGATCTGCTCTCATGACTCTGACTCTATTGTTAACATTGAACGTGAGAAGCTCATCTTTGAGAACATGATGAGTGTTGGCCAGCACCCCAATATAGTCAAGTGCCTCAAGATCATGGACAATGGGGTTATCCTTGAGCGTGCCGAGCACGGTGACCTGCGTGATTACTATCAAAATGGAGGCGGTGCTACTATCTCTGAGCGTGTCAAATGGTGCAAGGAGCTCGCCAGCGCTGTTGAGTATATCCACAGTCTCCACATCCGCCACGGCGATCTCTGCGGCAAAAACGTCTTACTTGACGCCGACCGCAACATCAAGCTCTGCGACTTTGCCGGCTCTGGCTTCTGTGGCAACCTCCCTACTGTGTCTGCCGAGCTTGGATACGCCCACCCGAACCGCGATCAAAACCGCCGTGCTACTGTCATAGCTGAGATTCATGCCTTGGGATCAACCATGTATGAGATTCTCACTACCAAGCGCCCTTTCTCGGCCAATCACCAACCTGGTGTGGTTGCTTGGTGGCTCAACACTGGAATCTACCCTAGGGTTGATCATATCCCCCTTGGAAAAATCATCGAGGCTTGCTGGAAGGGCAAGTACCCCTGTGCGCTTCAAGTCGAGCATGCCATCGAGCTTGCTATCGTTGAAGGTTCGTCTACCCCTGATTATGTTTGTTAATTTATCAGTACACTAATGTTTGGATGTATTAGCTGGCATGAACAACATGCTGATCTAAGATCGAAATTCCAACCCTGGAAAACAACATGGGGGATCAAGGAGGAGTTTGGCTGGCGTTAAAGATACCTGGGTGCTCAGGAAAAGGACGGAAAAATTGGTGAGGCTGACTATGGCTATGGGAACTTAACTACGGGATGCAATTCATGTAACATACTGTCAATAACTGTTTACATCCAGCTGCCCGAGTCTCATGATCCGGCGCCTGGCATGTGCACGAACGAGAAAATCAAGAAAATTTCACTTTGAAAACCCGTTTCTCATAGCATACCATTGTAGCCTACATCAATATTGAAGCCGGTTTCACCAAAACAGGCTTAAGTTAAAACGGTTGACAACCCTATTCAACTCTTTTTCCTTTACAGTAGCCTTACCTAAAGCCCAGCCGTTAATTTGTATGTTCTCGAAATCAGATGCTACCGGGGAGTTTAAGCTGTTTTTAAAAGTTAGTAAATACTTTTTTGATTATTGTACGCTTTTATTTCTGTTGCTCTTTGAAAAGTAAGATAAATTAAGTGTATAAATTCCCTATATATACCTAGGTGTGTACTTTATTCTTTCTCTCTATCTACTATATATATATATATATATATATATGTACCTGCTATTGTTGATTATGCCTGCCCCTTAATTTGTTTTGTTTATTTTGATATGGGGAAAGCACGGGCCACAAAGAAGAACAAACTAGAAAAAGTGGATCGTCTTGAGTGGCCAAAGTTCTTTCACGTGATATATTCAATTAGATAAGGTATTACATCATCAGTAAATCTTACATAAGTAGCTGTTTTTGCTACCAGCATTCTTCATCTATCAAAGTCGGCCTTTGTCAACCAGGGATAGGCACAAAGTCCTCCGTCGTCACCCTCAGCTAGGTAGTTTGCTGATCTCGAGACTACAATAGATGGTAGCTCGTCTGAAACCTGCAGCTTAGGCGGTTGTGCTCGAAAAGCACGGGAGCTGAAAGACAGTCCCAGCCATGAGTACTCCGGCACTTCAGTCGTGGGGTATATCTACCATTCTGCTTCAAGCACGTCTTCAGTTTCGGTTCAACGAGCTAATATAAAATTCTACTCAATAGAAGCTGAAAACCATGTCAAGCTTGTCGACCCGCAGCGCGACGCCCTTTACAACTATGACCAGGCAGCTACCCAGGCGCTGATGGCTGCTAAGCCATGGGCCCAAGACCCCCACTACTTCAAATCGATCCGTATATCTGCCACTGCGCTACTTAAGATGGTTATGCACGCTCGATCGGGTGGAAACCTCGAGGTTATGGGCCTTATGCAAGGGTTCGTGGCTGCCAATACGTTTGTTGTCACTGATGCATTCCGATTGCCTGTCGAGGGGACCGAGACCAGAGTCAACGCCCAAGATGAAGCGAACGAGTATATGGTTTCTTACCTACAGTCTTGCCGTGACTCCGGAAGAATGGAAAATGCAATTGGCTGGTACCATAGCCATCCGGGCTACGGATGTTGGCTGTCTGGTATCGACGTCTCGACGCAAGACACCCAACAGACCTATTCAGATCCTTTCGTTGCTGTCGTTATTGACCCAGACAGGACCATCTCTGCTGGAAAAGTCGAGATTGGTGCATTCAGAACCTACCCAAAAGACTACTCCCCACCAGGTGCTGGACAGGAGGAAGACGATGAATATCAAAGTATACCGCTGAATAAGGTCGAAGATTTCGGTGCGCATGCGTCACAGTACTATTCTCTAGAAGTTTCAAATTTCAAGAGTACACTAGACACCAAGATCTTATCTCTACTCTGGAACAAATACTGGGTTGCAACCATCAGTCAAAGCCCGCTTTTCACCAACCGGGATTATGGAAGCAAACAGATGAATGACCTGAGCCAGAAGATCAAGCGAGCCGCTAGAACGATAGAAGGTGGAAGTGCCAGTGCGAGGGGGAATATATTAGGGGATGCTATCGTGGATGGGAAGGAGAGCCTAACGGAAAAGGACCAGCAGCTCGTCAAGATTGTCAAGGACGGGGATCGGATTGTTGGAGAAGAGCTGGCTGGCCTCATGGCCGCAGAGATCAAAGAAGTTCTATTCAAGGGCGTTGGACAAGCCGGCCCCCAAAAATCGACTTGATCATGCTTGTTCATTGATGATATCATAGATCTCCGGCTTGCAGCCTGCCAATTAATGACCCAAGTTACGAATTAGACAACTGAATACAACCAATTATTCCTCCGTCCAGCAGCGGGACTTTCTCATATTTGATCGATTCTCTTTATTTCATCAACCACATCCAAGTAATATTTCATATGTTCTACTGGTACCGTCTTCATATAGGCACACACTCTACACGATGGCCCCATCTTGGCATGTGGCTGAAAGACCGTTCAGCTTCCATCAGGCTAGGGACAGTTTTACCTTTCTTTGTCTCTATCTATATACATGGGTTGCAAAGCTGAGCGAATAATATTTAAACAGCCCACGACGGCCATTCAGATACCTTGCTCGATCTCCTCTGGCTTTTATCTCGCACTTCCCATGCGCAGATGGGCACAATAATTATATCCCTTGTCAACCCGCTTCTCGTTGGTCAGAGTCAGATATTCCTCAGAAACCGTTCTAGGCAAGCAATCACGCGAGGCTGTCGAGAACAATAGAGAAAAAACTGAATACTCCATAACGCCTGCGGAGAGCCTCACACCACCCACTTGAATGCAACACATTCTCGCAAAATGCAGCATCCACGCCAGAGTAGACATGGCGGCCATCCTCATCACACGCCCATGATGCCGTTTACGCCCCTTCGATCTCTTAGACGGGAATTAGCCATTATGTTCGGATTTATTGGTTTGTCCATTTTGACCATGGCTGTGTACTGGGTCTTTTGGCAATGTGCGTTTATCACATCCCATCCCATGTAACAAAGAAGTATGGATTTACTCCTAAGGTAGAAAAAATTAACAGAATACCACTGTCTAGTTGCTCAAAAACGCAATGCCGCAAAGGAACGTGCTCGTCGTGAAACGTTCGCTGCGCGGGAGAGAGCTGCGGCGAACATGTCCGAGTCGAAAAGGTCGCATCAGCGTAGCCCAAACGGTAGCCATGATCGAACATTGAATATCGAAGCTTCAGGGAGGGTGGCTCGAAATGGGAATAGTGATGGGGGGTTAGGATTTGGAGATATTCGGGAAAATCTGGTCGTGTGAATGAGTGAAGGATATAATGATGTGGCCATGATGAACAGAGATACGGGAAACAGTTCTAATATACCCCAAGTTAATATGTATATGTGAGTATATAATACAAGCCTAACAGGCTGGTTGCGCAAGTCCAACGGTCCATTGCATAGTGCCAATGACAACGACCAAAAGGGCGAGTCCCAATCCTACGCTGGCAAACCCATATAAATATGCATGTTTCAGACGTAGGCTGTGAAGCTCGGCAATCCAAGTGCTCACTGTAGTTGTGCATCCGCAAAACCCATTCATGATACCCTTGAGGATCTGGCAGCCGAGCAGCCGGTGAGGAGCTATTGCACCATTTATACTAGTTCTAGCAACCACGCTACTAGCATGTTGTAAATCGAAGCATATGCCCAAGATCAGAGTGCCTATCATGTTGACCAAGAATGTTCCTAGAGGGAATGATAAGATCAGAGGGTTGAAGTACAGGGAAGCGTAGAATCGAAACAAGCAGCCGATGGGGGCAAATATAATGGCGAATTCGGCCGAACCACGCCAGTGCTGTTCCTGTATTGGCCGATGTCGATCCGGCGTCCATATGGCGAGGAAGATGGCTCCCATCCAGCAGCCAACAGCCAGTAAAACTATGAGTCGGTCAAGTATGTTACGTAGAAACTTGAATGGGAGTGTTGGCGTGAAGTAGGATAGGCCGTCTGCGAGGTGTGCTCCAACCACAATTGAGGAGAGACAAAGCAAAACGGTATATAAAAGGACCGCCAAAACGGCCATGAAGCTATACCCGCCATTTCTAGGCAGGATGGTATCTGTATTGGGGTTCGGCAGGGTATTTGATAGTGCATGATACGCATCAAGCATGAATGATGAAAACGAGGTGAACGAGCCGCAGAACCCGGTGGTCAGACCGATGTATAGCGGTATAGTCTTCTTGACTGCCTTGTGCTTTGTCAACACTTGCGTATCATCATCATCCGAGTCATCAATTCGCTGCTGCTCGTCGCCATTGCCGTTCAGCTCCCCGCGTCCAACACTAGAGTCACCCCATTCTTCACGGAAGAGCTTGCGGTCCTCTGCAAAGAAGCCGATAAGCAGACAGCCACCGACGTTCGCCCAGACCACTCCCGTAGTTACCGGCGCCCCGGGGTATACCGTCAAGACCTGCAGCCCGATCCGAGCCAAGGTGCCGAATATCGAGAAGAAGACGAGGTAGGAGATGGTGTAAAGCTGAGTCGCATGGTGGGATAGCTTCAGCTCCGATTGTGTATGTTCAGGTGTGGATATGCATGACTCCGCGCTCTCTAGTAATGCAGACGGCTCACGATGAACCGACGAGTTCCTCCTGTCCGGAACCGTATCTCTTCCCTTATTTACTGTATGACGTCGCTCCAGATTCGTTCGTGACCCTATCGTCTCGAGCTCGTAGGATGCATCATCTTGGCCTCGCTGGTCTTGGACTGGGGCATCTGGCGAGCTTCCCGCACCGCTTCTTCCCTGCTTCATCGGCAGTTCAGGCGTCAAATAGCGTCAGTAAACCGGTGGACCAAGCTGGAGATCCTCGCTGGTATCAACTTGCAGCTTCCAGCAAGCTCGCAAGCCATCTCTCTTTTTCTCTTCCCCTTCTTCTCTTCTTCTGCTTCTTTTCTTCTTTTTGCTGAGAGTTTTCCACGTATTTTATTGCCAACCGGCGTATTGATATTACACGTAATATTACCCAACCTTACCCCATTTCTTACCGATAAGATAAGAAGCAAAAGCGGTCGCTTTCTCCCCTCTTGACTTCTGCTTCTGCTCCTGCTTCTGCTTCTTCTTCTTCTACTCTTCATCTAATAGAATACCAGCTCTCCTATACCTTACGTTTACTGCTATTTATTACTTGCCGATCGTTGGATAGATTCAGATACCACAATGTCCAAGCCACTACCAAAGAACGTCCATGTGTCCCGCCATCCCTGTCTACAAGTGAAGCTCTCCCAGCTTCGATCCAACAAGGCATCAAGCCGTGAAACCAACGACCTAGTCCACGAGATAGCCACGATAATAGGCTGCGAGGCCTTTGCAGAGAACATTTCCGTGACCCGCGGCGAGAAGGTGTGCTGCCGTCCTGTCCCTCGCCGGCCCCCTTGCTGCATACATACGTACATACTACTCAATAGTTCGGATACTAATAGCAAGGCAACAAATAAAACAGAACACCACACCCCTTGGATACGAATATACCACTAGCTTCATAACGCCAGACAAGATCGCCCTGGTTCCTATCCTACGTTCCGGCCTGGGCATGGTCAACGGTACAATAGCCCAATCCCAACCCCAACCCCACGCCTGACTTGCCCTGCCCCATGGGACGAAATGGAATGGATCTAACTAACTAGTTGAAAAGCAATCCAAACCCTTCTTCCCTGCACACCAGCCGTGCATCACCTCGGCCTCTTCCGTGAACCTACCACCCTCGAACCAGTAGAATATTACAATAACCTGCCCTTCCAGCCGGACTCGGCGGGCGTCAACTCCGCTGCAGCAAAGCTAGCAATCATAATCGACCCCGTGGTCGCGACGGGCAGCACGGCCTCGGCGGCCATCCAGACGCTGCGTGAGTGGGGCGTGGAGCGGATCTTGTTCCTGTGTGTTTTGGGCAGTTATGCTGGTCTCGTCAAGGCTGCGGGGGAGTGGGAGGATGGGGTGCAGGTTTGGGCGGGGGCGGTGGACGAGCAGGTGGACGGGAAGGGAATGATTGAGCCTGGGCTGGGGGATATTGGGGATAGGCTTTTCTCGGCCGGCGGGAGGACGTCGGTGAATTAGTTCGGGAGGTTTTGTGGTTAGTTGTGCGGTGATGCGGTGTGTGGCTTGGTTTAGGTGGTGTTTGGCGAGTGTTGGTTGGGTTAAAGGGATTACGTTGAATTCAGCTTGAATAACGGTAACTATATTGACGTCAATCTACTACTTACGGGCTAGTTAGGTATTATTTAATTAATTCAATGCTGGCCGGGAGAGATGTTCACCATTAATATGATGAGATTATTTGGTTTATAGTAGGGTAAAGCGTCTGTCTGTATGGTACACGCAATTTGTAGAGTAGACCAGAGAGAAAGGAAAAAAAAAGATGAGATAAAAAGGGAGTAGAATCAGCCATAAAAGGAGAAGAGAAATAAATCGAACGTCTGACCAAGGAAACAAGAGATAAATGAATAAATAGAGTAAATAGATAGATAGGAGCTATATCAAATATCAACAGAAAAAAAAGGATTAAATATAAGAAAAGGATAAGGAAAAGCAACGCAGAGCAACGCAGAGCAACAAAAACAGACAACGCGCAAGCAAACACTGGCTGACCGAACAGAAATCTAATAAGTAATAATAAGCAGATAGATGAGATGAGATGAGATTGATATAAAGATGAGAGACATCAACGCAGCAACGCATAACGCAGGCCAGAAAACAAAGCAAGCAAGCAAAGCAACGCAAAAGACAACAAAGAGTTATAGGAAATATATCGATAATCCAAAAAAGAGTAAGAGGAAATGGCGAAACAATGAACTCGAACGCGTCAAGATAACAAGGCAGAGGCAGATTAAGTCCAAAGACGAGGACGAGGGGAGAACAAGGCCATGCAGACGCAGAACGGAGCAGAGTATCACAGTAAACCAGAAGCAGAAGAAGCAGAGCAGGAGAACTAAATGGAGTATATGGACCACGAGAAGGGAAAAGTAAAGCAAGCAAGCAAAAAAAAAAAGGTACTAAAGATTAAAAGTAGGGTGTTGGTAGAAAGGTAATAAGTAATAGTAGAAAGAGAGAAAAGAAGTAGAAGAAGGTAAAGCAAGTTCATGCGGCGAACAGACGCGGACACGCAGGACCAGCTGGTGTAGAGAAAGTGAGGTAGGTGGATGTTCTCTGCTCAACGTAGAGCAAAGGTTGGTGTCGAAGTCGATGGGTATTTGGTTGTAGGTGAAGCCACCAGAAGGTATAACGGGAGTGTGAGCAGCCAGTCCGCACGGGAGGGAAAGCAGAAGAGAGAAAGAACGAAAAAAAGACGAAACAGGCTCAGAACCACCAGCCAAAAGGAGAAAAAAAGAACGAAATGGAAAAGAGACAGGGAAAAAAACAACTGCAAGGAAATCCGTTTCTGACACGAGACATGCAAATGTAGATAGAAAAGGGGGCGAGAAATGCCTTCTCGGTTTTTCCCTCCCTTTGTCGCTTTGCATTTGCCTTTGCCTGCCATGTCATGCCAAAACCCCGTGTCCATGTTTTCCCCCGGTAGTGCCAATCTATGTGTGTATGTATGAATGTGTTGTTATCCGTGACCACCCCCTTCAGCAAGTAAGAACCGAAACAGAGAGAGAGTATAGGAAAGAAGGAAAGTAAAGCAACGCTGGAAACGTAGGAGATGGAGGAAAAGGAGTCGAAAGAGGGAGAGAAGGAGATGCTGTAGGTTAGAAAAGAGATAGGAAAGGAAAATGAAACCGAAAAAGGAAAAAGGAAGCAAAAGACAAAAACATAACGCCATAGGAAAGGAGAAGAGATGGAAGAAGGGCTGTCAGCGGCGTAGTCAATATGCAGTTCCGACGCTGGCGAGACCCTTGATAGGCATGGGTTCAAGGGCTTGTTCAGGGCTGGCTGCAGAGTCCTGATAGCCAACAAGGGCCTGAGAGTGAAGCTTGAATGCCTCGCCCATGAGTTTGGTGATTCTAGAGTATATATGTTAGCCAACTGGACTATAAAGGGGAAAGGAGAGAGAAAAGGAAGTAAGCTTACCCCCATACGACGACGCCGTCGAGGATGTTTCCCCATACGCGTGCAACGGTCGAGCAAAGCTTGTCTTGCTGGTCGTTGAGCTCGTTGGTGAATAGGCCACGAATCTTGTAATACAGCTCCAACTCGTCTTCAGTGGCTTGTTCCTCGTCATGCTCGAGACGGTAGAGCCACAAGCTGAGAATAACCATCATATCCATTCCACAGAGCGGGTGTTCGATACTCCAGTTGGTAGCGGAAGCGGTGGCAACCCAGTTCAGCCCCTGGACGGCAGCGATCTCGATACACTCGAAGCACTGAGTGACAACCTTGTTCATTTCCTGGGATCGCTTGATTTTCTCGCGGGCGACAGTCATGGCGGCTGCGACCTCGTAAGGCGAGTGGTAACGAAGAGCTTCCTGGATAGACTTGAGATCTACCTCTAGTCTGGCCCGGGTGTTGCGGTAAACGGCCATGGAGTTGAAGATGAGCGGGTGGCCCTTTTGAGGGGTGCTGATGGGCACGACCAGGGTCTCAGGCTCACAGATGTCAAGAGACTTTTCCCATGTTTCGATGGCGAGGCGCAATTTGTACTGGGTGACCACGTCCTGGAGGGCATCGATGGTGCGAGACTGGTACCATACTTCGAGGAAGAGGGCATTGATCATGACACGAGTAGCGTAGGCGGAGTAGCGAACTGGTTCGCCCCGCAGGAGGCTGTCGTGTGCCTGTCGAACGGTGAGGATCTTTGAGCTGCCGCCCAGAGCCCGACGCCAGGTGTACTCGTCTGAGATTTCGAGGTTCCAGAGGGACTCTGATGAGGGGAGCTCGAGGGTGTCGAACTCATTGAAGGTCAGAGCCGGGTTGTGGTTGAATGTCAAGCTGAGCATACCGAAGAAGACGAAGACGGCGTAATAAGTTCGACGACAGCTCTCGTCCTCGATCCACTCAGCATGGCGTGGTGTGGCACCTTCACGAGCGTCTATCCTGAGCTTGAGCTGGTATCTGTTGCCGGCGACCATGTTGGCAAGCAAGCTCTTGATGGAGCAGGTCCACTCGAGGCCCTTGGAGTCACCACTCCAGCTCTCGAAGATCATGTTGAGCAGGGTACTCTGCATGGCCCAGAGGGGGCACTTTCTCGAGTCGAAGTTGTCCTTTTGCTGGAGGAATTGGTTGACGAGCATCTTGGAGCCAATGTGCAGCATAAAGGCGTCTTCCCGTTCAAAGGTGTAGAGAGCACCAATGGAGAGCACGGCCAGCAGCAAAGGAGAAGAGACATCCTTGGGATTGAAGGTGGCCGGGTGCAAGAAGGGCAGGTGATGGTGATACATGTTGAAGTAAGTGGACAGGTATCTGTTCAGGATGGGCGTGGAGGGCACCTTGAAGGTCTCTGGTAGGCTGTTGAGGCTGTCATTGGCCTCGAGACGGTCAACAATGATCTGACGCTCGGCATCACTAGCAATCTGTGGGGTCTTGGGCTGGGTGAGGACCTGACTGGGGCCTGGGGAACGTCTATAGTTGACCGGGGAAACTGGTCCGGTCATGGATGGGTAAGGAGACAGAGCGTTGGGCGTCGAGTTACCGGAGACAGGCAGGGAGTGAACAAGCGAGTGCATGTTTGGAGTCAAGTTGTCACTGGAGGAACTGCGTTCAATGGTAGGAGCAACCATGGTCTGATGTTGGTGCTGGTGCTGGTGCTGATGATGCTGGTAGGGCGAAGGAGCTGTTTGAGAGGGCCTGGAGGACTCCTTGGAGGGCTTGACATCGGCCATGAAGGTATCCCAGGGCATCTGGGGCAAGGTAGCGTTGCCAGACATGTATGAGACAGATGGTTCCATAAGACTGTTGCCGCGATCCGAGTAGGACTGGTGGTGGCTGCGATGCTGGCTGGAGGTGACGGCAGCGGCAGCTTTATGCTGGAAGTCTGTCATGAGCATGGCTGCGGTCTCGAGGTCGACCATGCCATCACTGCTGGCTTCTATCTGTTCTAGAGCGGCCGGGTCGATGGTGACGGACGACTTGGACGGGCTGCTGGCTTTGGCTGTTGCTGTCGTGGAGGCTGCTGTCGTGGCGGTTGTCGTGGTCGTCTGTGGAGCGTTGGCAGTCGTGGCAGCAGCAGCAGCGGCGGCGGCGGCAGCGGCAGCGGCCTTTCCACCACGTCGACGTCCCTCGGCAACCAAGGGGATCCCACCATCCTTTGCGTGGACTGTGCGGTCATGGCGGAGGAGCAGGTCTCTTCGCACAAAGGTGCTTCTGCACTTGAGACACTTGAACGGCCGTTCCTTTGTATCTAGTACTTGTTAGTAAAGCACAGTAATAATGGTAATAGTAGTTGGTAGTAGTAATTAAAAGTGACTTACGGGATCTTTCGTGTCGGCTGCGGTGCTCGCTGCGACTGAAGGCCCGGTGACAGAACTGGCACTTGTATTTCCTCTCCGGCGGCATAGAAGCCTTCTTCGCACCCGAACTTGACGACGCAGCAGGAGCCATTGTAGAGTATTATCGTGGTAGACGTAGCAGTAGACAGACGTAGAGACGAAAGGACAGAGAGGACGAGAGGAGAGAGAGAGACCAGAGGAGCAGGAGGAAGAGAAAGGGAAGCACTCCGAGTCCGTAGCAGGTCTCCAGCCGAAATGGTTATCTTGCTCCCTCTGTTATTATGATGGCGGCGAGAGAAGAGACGGTGAAGGCGGTGGTGATGGTGACGGCGAGCGACTGTCGAGGACTAAGCATGCCTTGCTAATGATGAACCGTGGTCTATCTGTAGTGAATAGTAAATGGTGGAGGGGAGAAAAAGAAGAAGAAGAAAAGACGATAGATGGAGAGATAGAGAGATGTTGAAAGTGGTGGTGTCTTCTTTTTTTTTCTTTCTCCCTTCTATTTCCCCTTTGGGCCAGAAGTTGAAGTTGGCGATGGCAGAAAGTCGAGGCAAAGTGGGAGTAGCGAGAAGCAGAAGGCGGCAGTAGAGAGTAAACAGTCCAAATGGGCGGAGAGTAGACAGCGACGAGTGCAAGGACCAGCCAGAGAGAGACCAACGTCGAAGCTATGAAAGATGAAGATGAGGATGAAGATGATGGAGATGGACGAAGTTGAGGATGTTGAAGGAAAAAAGATGTGAAAAAAAGGGCAAAAGAGAAAAATAAAAAAAAGGTCGTAAAAAAACGAAGCCCACGATAAATAAAAAAGAAAAGGACGAAAAGACGAAGCAGCAGAAGCAGAAGAAGCGGACAAGACAAGGCAAGGGGAGGCTGGCGTGGCAGTAGAGTGGGTGGCAGTAAGCAGAGGGAGGACGGAGGGGAGCGAGGGAGCGAGGGGCAGGCGAGGGAGGCAGGAAGAAGCACGAAGAAGGAGACGAGTGAAGAAGGGGGAGGGGGCTGGGCTGGTGTTTTGGTGGGCAGGAGCTGAGGACTCCGACCACGTCCTGCTCACCTCCTAACGCCACGCCCCACCACCCCCCTTCTTGGTCTTCTTCCCCCCGCGACGACGATGAAAGACAAGAGGGAAAACGCGTATCGTAATTAAAACAGGGCAAGTCAAGGAAAAAAGAGGCAGAGGGGCAGGTAAAGTAAGAGTAAAGTAAAGGTAAAAGTAAGCGTAAAGTAAGAGGAAAGTAAAGGCAAAGT